TTGGGGACGCGAGTGGACAAGGGATGTTGGGGTCGAAAAACGTGGCAACGGCGCAACAGACTTCGAAACTGCGGAGACGCTCGCTTTGCAGACGGAGGGTCAAGTTTTCGGAAGAGATACCAGGGGGGATTAGCGGAACGGTGAAATTCTTCTTGATCTCACGTTCCTTTTTCTTTAAGTCTTGAATGGATTGATTGAAAGAAGGTGGTTGGGTTTGTGTCTAGTGGATAAATAATCAATTAAGGATTTTTCAACCATTTCTTTCAACTTCCAATCTAAAATTGTTCCTTCTGTGAGTTAGTAGAGGATCGGTTATGCCATAATGCATCATGTTACCATAGTGCACAACACTATAATGCTGCATAATTTTCACTTCTGAAAGGGGATAGATACTCTGCGTTCAAAACACTCTCTGTACTTCCTTACAAACGCCCCAACCCGGGCAAAGAGATTGACTCAACTTGGCGAAAGAATGTCCAATATTCATCAATTCAATATTCAAATTCCAAGATCCGTCAAGTTGAGTTAACGTTGAAAAATATTGAATCAGGTCTCAAGACAAATGGGACATCGAAATCATGTTGTCCAATATACCGTGTTAATGTTACATAAACATGATCACGGCATGCAGCCACACCAAACGTCGCCGTAGACTCAAAATTGATAGGAGACGTGTCTCTATGTTATTAGGACATCAAATTACGCTAATGTAATTAGGTTAATTGAAGTCCTTTCTCTTCATCCTCTGGGTCAGAATTACACAGAGTCTCTTTGGGCTCATTCCTTCGTCGAATGAATTGATAAGTTTCAGTGTCTTCCTGTGTATCGTCTGCGAGAAAACGATCAAGTACCCCATGGAAAAGTACTGGCGACTTAATCTATAAGTCGCTGCATAGACGATTTAAGAGCCATCTCTCTTTGGTGGCGGGAATTTGAGCTTCTAAATTGCTCGCTTCGACTACATCTCGATCCATCGACGGGACGTGGAGTCCTCAACTGGAGCGCTGCGAGTATTCAAATTTATGGTAATCTTGTGACTTATCTTACTTTCATCATCGAGAAAAAGTTGACCATCCACTGGACCGTAAGTATTGCATCAACACATTCAACCTCATTAATTGTTACTCAACTATAATTACACGCCTGACCCCGTAAAGGTAATTGTAAATAAATGATCCTAAAGAGCACGAAGGTACATAGCAGTAGATACATAGTAGTAACTCCGTGCTTTATGTTTACTAATGAACTCACCGTAGTTTCGACCTGTTCACTCGTGACGTTCTTCTCTTCAACCGTAGACTCGTTTCCGTATCGGAGAGAAACACTGAGCTTCGCATCCGTCAGCGATGGTCCAGCCAATGAAAATCCATTCACGACGAATTCCACGCCGTCCGCGCCGCATGGCGAGGGAGGCGGGGGTGGGGCGTCCACTGTCAAAGGATTGAATTTCCGCTGAGAGCGATCGAAATGACTATCCGTCGACAGAACCGAACCGGACAAGAATATCTAGTTCGTCGAAGTGGTCGAAAGTTCGAAAGGGTCCTCTCACCATCTCGAGTGTTGGCCACGAGTCCCAGCTCAAACTCTGCCTTTGTGTGTACGAGAAGGGAATCCTTCTTATAAGTAGGCGGTTTGAGGTGTCGACCAAGACACGGGAATGCATAGCCGATGGACTGTATGGATGCATTGCATATTCCGATCCCCTCTGATCCCTCTCCTTGAAATTCGATGCCGAGCGAGAAGTAGCCGATGAATCCCACTGGTATTTCCAGGCAGAAACCGCCCTGAAGTTTTCCATCTGAAAATACACCAGAAACGAACGGTAACGAGATGAAAAAAAAATAAATAACAAATAGAAGACATGTTTCTGGTTTACCTTGCTGGACAACCATGGACACATTCTTCAATGATGGTTTCAGTGACGGCGGTACGAGTGAGAGTTGGCTCATGTTTCGATGTTCTTCCTTGAAAGCTTCCGTGGAAAAGGCGTAGCACCCGCCCATTGCCAAGTTTTTCAGCGAAGTTAGAGCAACACAGAATGACGCCTGTTTGGCGGTGCTCTTGGCGCTTAGAAGGTATTCGACCACAATGTTGATTGTGAGGTGGTAGTGGTCCGTAGAATTTTCTCCTCCCCACGGTGTTGATAATGTACCCAGTGACATGTTGAGCCTGTGACGGGAACAAGTCTTTCGATGAAAAGTCGGCTGGAAACCGGGCCAAAAGACGGCTTCAATCTCTGATTAGGGCTTAGCGAAAAGCTCTGCAATATCTCCACATCCATTAATTCGACATAAAAAAGGGCGAGAATGCAAGGGAAAACGCACATGGAGCGTGAGTCTTCATTGACCTCCAGGAAGTTGTTTTTTATCCCCTCGATCTCCTTGTCCATGCGGCCGAAGTCGATTCTGCACACGCTAATGTTGAGTGCTGATAGGTTGACGTTGTGAATAAATTCCGCTGAAATATCGTCTTGGTAGATGCTATCTGTAGAGAGGAGTCAGGAAATTGGGAAAATCAATTGCAACCCGAGTTGAGGTGTTTCGCTGCATCCTTTGTTGAATTTGTCAATAAAGTTAGGCGGAGTACCACGTTTAGGAGAATCTTGATGGCATATTGTGACTTGATTTGAATGAGGCAGGTCGGCTTTGTTTGAAATTAGACAGTATCGAAAGTATGTCGAGATGGACTCTTTTTTTACGCTATTGAAGGACGAGGAGTTTTCACTAAGTTTCCAAAACATTCTACTAGTTACTGCCATCAACAATTACGTTTGCTCAAGTACTGCATGATTCAACAAGCGTTTTGGTATGTCCAACGTGAAATTCAGTTTCCTTACATAAAGTTGGGAGAGCTGGGGAATTCCGCTTTCATTTAAATTATGGCCATAATTCAATGAGTCCAGAACATGTCACCTGCTTGAGGCTTTCATTACATTGGCGAGGAAACTCAGGTTCCAATGTGTGCGGCGACCATGCAGCAGTCCAAGTGATTCATGCAAGGAGGTACATTTAAAAAACGATAGAGCGATCCTCACGTGGGAGTGAAACCTTGAGATTCAGGCCAGCCTGGGCGGTTTCGGTCCATATTTTGCGCGTGGAGGACGTGGGCTCCAGAGCCCCCACAATCTAACGAGAAAGCCCACGTTTTCTCATTTTTATAAATTTTCGTATTGTCTTATTTTTATTATATTTTTTTATTATTATCATACTCTCATTTTTATCATTTTTTAAATCATGTTCTTAATTTTCTCTTCAGAGCGTTCTTGTTTCTATTAGGTCTTTTGCATGTTGTACTCGTGGATGATATACGAAGTAAAATAGATTCAAGACTCACCATCAACCTGTTTTTGAAGTACATGGCGAACTCAACCTGGAATGAACAAACACGATTGAGTAATTTTAATATGCTTATCAAGTTTTGCTTGAGCTTCGCGGAAATGCAAATCCCTGGCAAATCATGACACCTTATAAGCACGGCATTTCGTTGGGAAAAAATTACCATGAATAAAAAACATGAAAGAACGTGTCCGGACACTTGGCATCGTGAAGAATCTTCATCTTTATCCCTTTTTAATTGGCCACTCTTATTCAGACTGCTTCTAAATAATAATCATTGTACATCTTCCACTGCTTTGTGGGAATTCAAATTAATGTGCCAAGGAGTTGTGCGTGGGACTTTCACAGTATTTCTCTGGAGGTTTGTGAAAGCAATTTTAGCTGAATCTAACTTATCTAAAGTCTCTTGCACATGCCTGTTTCCATTGGAGTTTGCCCACTACCTGAAGTGCATTATCCGTAGACTGCACGAGAATATGTTGAATCGACTTAACCTTTGGGGCAAGCGAATCTGGGCAGGTGTCTATTGTGCATGCTCCAATGATAAGTCCATAAGCATTTCCATGGGTTTGCTGAAGCGCTTATACTACCTAACCATAGAGCAGAGAGTGTAACTAGAGGCGACATTCCGAGGGGTAGGGGCAGTGGCGTAGCGAAAGGGGGGATTGGGGGAGGGGGGGCTGAAGCCCCCCCAACTCTGGTCTAAATGCCCCCCCCCCCCCCCCCCCCGGGCGAGAAGTAAGCCCCCCGCCGTTCTACTTAGCCCCACCATTAGCGAAATCCAGGCTACGCCACTGGGTGGGGGAGGGTCCAAACATTACAGAGACTTGGACATCTGGTGGCATGTTATCAACAACTATTCCTTGAGGCGTGCTTCGTGGCAGCGGAATCGGGAATCGACTCATTCGGGGATTCGACCCAAAGAATCCATCAACGTAACACGCGTGTCTGTTGAGCCCGCTGCTCAGCCATGGAAGAGTCGTTCATGTGCGCACGCTAGGTGGAGGATTAACAGTGACATCTATATTGCGACCCTGTCAATGAATAGGATTCGAGCGGAGTGTCACCTCTAGTTATACTCTCTATGACCTAACGTCGCTGAGATCAGACCCTTTCATAATGAGTCGACTTAGGACGCTCCAATGTATAACCCATTTCCAAAGAAGCTTAAAGGCGCCGTTAAGGGGGGGGGGGGGTTCCACCCTTCCTCAAAATTGATCTAGGACGAAAATGTTTAATAGATAATTCATAGCGTCACCCCGCCCTCCTTTTCCCTCAGGGCTCACTCCAATGGAAAGCATTTTATTTATTTCAACAGGTTTCTTTTCTGATCGAGGGGAAACCCTTTTTCCCACCTCCCTTCACCTTTTTACGTTCTACTTTCGATCGCCTCGAAACATCAGTGCGATCACACCGCTTCAAAACATCATGTCCACGAAGTGAAATTTATTACGTTAAACTAATTTGTTGCGTATCACTCCAATTCTCTTGCACAGTTCTCCTTCTTGAAATGTGCTTTTCGATGCACACAAATGAGACTTGAAAGAAGACCTAATAATTTGAAGAAAAAGATCCGCCTCTCAGTGCAGATGACTTTTTCTGAGACCGTAGTAAAAGGCTGTACTTCCCTTGTATGGCCTGTCATGGGAAGTGACAGGCCTGCGATAAGGTCATAAAACTCGTCTACATTTTTCTAAATGCCTAAAATTATTCTCTCTCCATCCATCCTCGACATTCCTTGAGCATGGCAATGTGGGTTCTTTGTCCTCAATTTTTTTCAATCTAAAGACCTGAGATCACTCCCTGCCGGGGGAAGCCGAGTTTCAGGGAATCCATCATTAGAGGAATCCTAACGTGCTCATGGCCACGATGCAACAGCCTCACGATCCCTTCCTCTAAACAATTGCCGTACATACCACCACGTAGGTCCCTAAAGTTAAGTCGTGAGAGGGCCTGTAGCCTGAATGGGCCTCGCCAGGCTATCAAGGAGGGCTATGACTACACAGGCTCGCCTAGTTTTCACTCTCTGGAAACACCCTGTCTTCTTCTGACTTTCGCGTGAGGCGGTCAATCGAATGACTGAACCAAAAATCTACTCTGTGGCAAAGGGAGAGGATCACTGGTGCAAGAAGTATTTAAGAAATCAATGCGTATTTTCTTGTTGCAGTAAACACAATTATTCGATATAATGTCCATTATAAAAATTAGGCGAAAAATCGATGGACGAAACGCAATTTTCTCATTAATGATTTCGAGGCGCATCTTGGCCCCTGAGCCTGAAAATGAATTAAAAACTCATAGGTAAAGGGAAAAGAACAAAACAGGAAAAGGCTTGCCTCAAAACCAACGGTCACCGGCTAATAGGGAATCAGAGGGTTCGGGTCTCATTTACAGCGCTTATTTCTTGTTATAAAGGGACTCTGAGCAAAAGTTTAGCTCGATTTGTATGAAAACGCTCTCAATTAAGGAAGAGCCACTGAGTGTATTGGCTCGCGGTGAAAGTCTCTTTGGAATGATCTCGTGGTTTTGCTATCGATCTTGCCGTTTTTGAGGTACAGATCTTAAGTACTGACTAGTACTTGATGTACTTGGCGCGACGAGTTCTAAGACCTTAATTCATTGATAAATTGTTTAGGGATGAGTGTAAACCACTTGAAAGAGAGCGTCTTTCAAATTTCGGACTGAAAATTAAGGTTTAGAACTTATCCTAAATTGCGTTTAATCCACTCGAGTAACCGCTGTGAAAACGAGAAACGTGAACTCACGTAAGGCGACTTCGTGGATGAATTGTCGTAGATCTCATAGGTGTTGACTTCTCCCAATTTCACCAGGACTCCATTGCCGTGCCTGTGAGATCGAAACGGATCAGATTCCGACGTCGCACTTGCGTATGACTAATTTGCTGAGGCATTTCTCAAATAAACCTCATGATTACCAGGAATAACGTATTCTGAGTTTATCTTTCTCTCGGTATAAAAAGCTCTTTCCACAGAAACTTAATTTCCTCTTTCAATGATTCAAATTTTCGTAAAGAACGCGATGAAAGGACAAAGGGGATCCGTAAGTTGATTTCAATATTTCCAAATATGAAATTGAAATTAGATGCTATAGTTCGTTTAGGAAGATCAGACGAAAATGTTCAAAACAGGAGGATTCAGTAAAAGCATCGAAACGAATTTTTCCAATTCTATTTCTGCAAAAATTGCAAAAGATTATTAGGATGAGCCGTGGCTCGCACGAAGCCTTACTTTTGAGCCCACGACACGTCGTCGAGCTTCGTAACCTCGTCATTGTCGCTGCAAGGGGCGTTGGGGTCCACTAAAATCCCATCATAGCATTCCTCCAAAGAATATCTGGACAAAATATTGTTGCAGTCCTCGAGGAACACCGTGAGATTCGGATAGAAAGCCGCCTCGGAGACATTGAACTTGACGAGGATCTTCGGACACGTGGAATTCCCCATCCATTCCTCCGGGATGCACATGGAATAGTGACTCTGAAATCGCATCGAGCCGTTCAACGGGACGCGCGGGATCACCGGAACGGGCACCTTCTCCGAACTGAGGACATCCGTCCCGTGGTTCACAACCAAGTCCACGGACCCGCGTCTCCACTTGGGGAGGACCACGCCGTTCAGTAGAAACGAGATCGAGTTTGTGTTCGCATCGCGAATGACTTCTTGCCCTGCAAGATAGCATGATTATCACTTTCGACAGAACTGATAGAATAACGTTTTTGTTCCTGGAACCCTCTGACATCGTTCCTCCTCGAAATTCCACGCGTGTTGACAAAGAAGTTACGCTCGGAGGCTCAAAGACTGTGATTTCCTAGGAGCAGAAAATTTGCCAGAAATTTTATATTTTCCAATATATTAATAGTTACAATTTAACCACATTCAGAACTTTCGAGGAATTACCTTTGTCATCGTTTTCTCACAATACATTTTCATCCGAAATCCAGACAAGATCCATCCATCCAATCCACAAACCTGTTTCATACGTAGACTGCACCGCAATCCACTCCATCAACGTGGTGTCCCCGTCGACAACATTTTCAACGCCGCAAGAATACTTGTTCGTGGCGTTCCACGTCACCGCGAGACTGCAGAGACGGACGCCCTCCATTCCCGTGACGTTGATGGAATAAGGCCCGACGGTTCCAGGCTCAAGAAGGAGCTTCACTTCCGCACTGAATGTTTCTCCTAACAAAGAGAAATTACCGTCAAGGATTCGTTCACCATAAGGCACTGAAAAGGACCTCAGGCAGCTTAAATCAAACCCATTCCACGCGGACTTAAAGATTCTTATTCGTCCTGCAATATTTTGCTTTTTTTGCAGCTAGACCTACTTTCGCCATTTTGGGATTGCTTGGCGTCCCTGTTAGACTTTTAGAAGGTTTCGGAAGGGTAGGAAACCGAACCTGGCAATCTTATGTCGGTGTGGAAAGATGAGGGACCTTTGACTCCGTTTCGCTTCATCCAAGTCAAATGCACTCGTTTGAATCTTTCTTGTCCCGTTAAGACATGATATTTTCGGATAGTTCACAAAACTCGAAATCATTCGCGCATTTAAAAGAAATCCTACTCGTGCTTCCGAACTTTTCATGATTCAGTCATGTCCTGAGCAGACGGAGGATTAAATTACTTTCAAATGAAAACTCATACATCTTTTCCGCAATGTTATCTGTTTGCGTCGCTCCTCCATAGAGTTTAATGCAACGGAGGAGGGTAGCGTAATACTTGTTGGGGGAGACTAGAAGGCAGCAGAGTCTAACCCTCCTTCAGTGAAGCGAACTTTGTGATGACTCCATTGAAAGTTATATTGGTGATAATTGGAGGAGTGTGGAGAAATAGAGAGAGAAATTAGGCTACTTTCAACGTTTAGTCAGAGAAAAAAACCCTTACAATAGAGCAGAAAACATTATCGCATGAAGTTGTTAGATGCAGCTTGTGTTGGTTGACTGTGAATCCTAACCAGATCGTGCTTTCTACGTTAATCTTTCTCCTCATCTTTTCACGAAACACCACTGGGCTTTGACTTCGTAGATCGGGCGAATGAATGATTAACTCACATGCTCAGACCCAACTTGAAACATAATAATAATGCAATGGCACACCATCTAACCAAGTAATCAAGAGGACAAAACACCTTTTGGAGTCGAGAAACTCCAGCAAGTATAATTAAAGAAATAAGAGTGATGAACAAGCACCTGGTCTGACTCCGTCCGGATCGAAGGTGGAATTAGTCATCTTGGGTTCGTAGCATGAGAAATTCGAAGGTGGAATCTTCCCTTCCGCCTCAGAAGCAGGGTGCATGATGAAATCAGTGAAAAAAACTTCGACTGAGGTTCCATCAGATGTTCGAATGGTGGCTGCAATGTCCCCGTCTGTTGCTCCCGGATCTACAAGCAAAGCGGGCGTTCCTCAGGAACAAAGAGAAGAAAATCAGTCGGCTAAGAGAAGAAAAGGAGACCATGAGAGAAAAGAAGGCGGCCAAAGGAATGAGCCCATACACTTGGACTTCAGTCGAGCGAATTGCATGCCCAAATTGAGAACGATGCGTGAATCCTGTTTAGTTTCGAGGGGACCAAACACTTTCCCCGCTCCGCTTCCGTTCTCGTCGCCTTCGCTGTTCGAATTAATGCAGAATTATTCGATTGTGTTTTCATTCCGGGTTAGACGAATTTCCTCGGAATTAGATGCTCACATATAGAAATCTTTGCCGAGATTGGGTAATTGCAGTCCAGGCCCGGTCTCGCTGATGTTCACCTTGCAGAACTCAATATCGGAATTGTTCCCGATATGCGTGAATATCACGGTCACATTTTCAGCAAAGAATCCGTCTGGACAAATCAAAGAAATAATCTTCCATCAAGAGGTACCGAACAGCAGAAAGAAAGGATCGACGAGCGACAATCGACGCACCAGCCATTTTGATGATAAGATCAAGAGAGGCCCCGCCTTTTTCATACCACTCCGTGCCGCTTCCTTCTGACAGTCTGAACTCGGCTTCCAGCTAAATATGATAGAATACATAGAATGGACATTCAGTTACACGCTAATGCGTTTTTTTTACGTTATAATTCTCAGTACTTTGAAACATGCACCATCCTTATCATGAGAAGATCACCTAGGTTTCAAAATGGGATGAAAATACAGTTATCTCGTTAACTCGAGTTTTATCATTGAGGAAAAATCGACTGGAGTTTTCCTAAATTCGGCTCGTCGGAAATAGGTTCTGACCTACCTTGCCTCTGACCACATTGGAAACCCAATTCAAAGGAATCATCAGATGGGGATTTTTTCAGTCCTCAGAGAGCGTTCACTTTCGATTTCAATATGCAAAAACCTGATGTAGAATCTGAGTTTCATTCGCCAAAACAGAGTGGAAATATGGTTTCAGTTCCCAGGAAATTTGAGATAAACTGAATTCGTGTAAAACTGAACCATTAATATAGTCTCCATGTACGGACCTGTTTTTATTTTTAAACATTTAACAATAAATTAAAGCAAACAAAAATTTAAAATTAAAACAAAAAATTAAGTTGTAATATACCGGAATTCGTCTTCACGAGTTTGCCCTGCATGCCGCTCCGAATTTGCATTGAATGTGCTCAGAAAATACATAATCACGAATTGATGTGCAGGAGATGAGTTTTATGCATGACTCTAAATTCAACTCTTATGGTTCAATTTATGATTGGAGAAAAAAAACTTATTGAGTTACTCACCATAGGTTTCCTTGTGAATGTCAACTCGAACACAACCTGAAACAGATGCAGGGGATCAGTGAGTAACTAAGCTATACACAAGGTGGAATCCAGGGGTAAAAACAAATAAATAAACAAACTTACATAGGGTTGTTCCACACCAGGTTGGGTTTGGATCATCGTAAAGCGGATTTCCCGAGTCACCGGGTCACTTCTGGATAGGACAATGAAATACAACGTTACTCAACTCGTGTTTGCAGGAAACTACGCCATTAAAAAAGATTCCTGTCAGATATATTCAGGTTTAGACTGGTATTAGTTCTGCCGATAATATTTTAATGGAAAGAAAGAATTTTCGAGGAAGTCGGGAAGCTGTCGTTTCCAGTCTAAACCTGGACATTTTTTACTGGATTTATTATTATTAACAGAGAAGATACGTTTATGATAACGGAAACTCACTTTGGTTTCAAGTTTGCTTGATCTGTGATGTTCTTTTGTATTGGGGGCGAGTTTGAACAAGGGACGTTGGGATCGAATAATGTTGCCACGACGCAGCAAACTTCATACGGACGGAGGTTCTCGCCTTTGAGAATGGCAGTGTATTCCATGTAAATGGAGCCAGGCTTAAGCAGAAACGTGAATTTCTTGGTCAGAAGACATTCAGTTGTGTTGAGGCTTCCGATGGGGATGGTTGTGCTGTTCAACTGGATAGAAATAAGTTTCCTTTTTTAGCTTTGCCTTGACTTTCTTTCATTCGCTCCTTTCGCAGTTTTGGATGCGACATGGATAAATGTGACGTGGTACATAATATACGTGTATTTAAAGTTACTTCTCGTACCATGAGACCTCGTGGTTTGCACATTCCCTAAGTCGCATTTTGCTATCGAGATATGTGAGACAAACTTGCTGAACTCACCTCGGAGAGGAATGAGTATGATTCAACATCGACTCCCTCCTTCTGGACGTAAGACTTGTTTCCATATCGAAGAGTAGCTTTGAGGAACGCACCTCTCAGCGATGATTCCGCCATTACAAATGCATTCAGGGCGAATTCCACGCCATCCGCACCGCATGGAGGGTCATCGGGCGGGCTTGGAGCTTGCACCACTGTCGCGGGAAAAACTCAAAAGTGAGAGGTTGAAACATTTTAAAATGCTGAATATCGTCGACCTGAGAATATTTATACGTCTGGTTCAAACTCAAGTTTGCCAATGAAAGACCGAAGAAAGCTCTCTCACCATCTCGAGTGTTGGCCACGATTCCCAGCTCAAACTCTGCTTTTTTGTACATTAAGAAAGAATCACTCCTCGTGTAAGTAGGCAGTTGCTTTTTGTGGCATGGAAATGCATAGCCAATGGTCTGCATAGTTGCATTGCATATCCCAACTCCTACTGATTCAGATTCAATGCTGAGTGAAATATCGTTGATGGATCCCGCTGGTATTTGCAGGCAGATAGTGCCTTCAATACTTCCAGCTAGAAGTGAACCGGATACGAGTGGTTGTGACGACGCAAATAAAAATAAAGGACATGATTTCTTTCAGGATTACCTTTCTGGACCAGCGTGACATTAAAAGACTTAATTGACGGATCCCCGGCTAACGTCATAAAAAGGTTTCCATGCTTTTTCTCGGAGAGGATCGGAGTGAAGTTGTAGCATCCGCTCAGGACGAAGCCTTCCGAGTCGGACAGAGACGCGCAGAATGGCACAGACTCGTCTCCAGGTATTTCTGCATCCATAGAATTGAGTTGTTGAGCACGGTGCGTCTGTCGAAGTTCTCGTAATTTGTGAAACTTTTCTGACCTCGCAATTGAGCCACGACGTTGACTGTGAAGTTGGAACGGCCGCCAGAATCCTCATTTTCCCCATCCGGAGTATTTATCGGACCCAATAGCATTCTGTAGCTGTAGATGGAGAAATAGATGTGTGAAAAAAAAAATTTTTAGAAAATCGCGGAGAAAGACTATTCTAGGAATTATCCTCTGAAAAATAACAAAAATTTATCTGTTTAAACCTCAGACCGCGGAAGTTCGCCCTGCCCATTTTTTGCTTTAATGAAGACCATTGAAGGAGAAAAAAAAATCGATCTTGATGTCTTAAGAATTCAGTCAGGGCTTAAAATTCACACATTCACAGGAAGAACCACTCACCGAGATTCAGAGTAACCCTGGATCTGCGTGTAGTGATTCTCTATGCCTTTGAGATTATCGTCCACAAAGCCGAATTCGATTCTGCACACGTCAACCGTGGTGGGTGGATCATAATAGTTATAAATGAAGTCCACTGTCATGTTTTTGGTTTCGAATGCAGCTACGGAGAGAATCGAGGTATTGATTTATATTTTTATTACGAATAATAGTTATACTATGAACTATACATTCAATATACAGTCTCTCAAATTATGGTGAAGGGCATAATAATAATTTAGAGATAATTTTCATATTTGAAACAGTTGAAGCCGCCTCACACAATGGAGTCCAGATAAACTCCATGTTCATGCATTGATAGACTCTGGAAGACTCGAATTTCCTCTAAAACTTTGCAATTCCTCGACGATCGGGATTTTTCACTTCA